GAAACCTGGTACGCCAAGAAGCTCGTCGATAACAACGCGAAGGTGACCCAGGCTACCGCGAAAGAGTACAAGCTGAGATCCCACAACGAGCACAACTTCCAGTGGGTCGGCAAGGAGCAAATGCAGAAGCTCATCGGGGAGAATAAGGCGGACTTGAAGATTGCCAGCGGCGTGTTGCAAACACGCCCTGACCCAACGACTGGCAGGGACGACGAGTGGTCGATCGAGTACAAGCTGTATTTCGACAGCGGTGGCGACGATGAGGAGAACATCAAGTCGGAGACGCTCAACGCCACGGCGGAGGTCGACGGCCAGGGCATCGAGGAGGCCAACGCGTTCATGACGGACATCGCATCGTGCCTGGACCTGGATACCAAGAAGCTGGACGGGGTGAAGGTCAAGAAGGAGAATAACGATGATGGGACAGACAGCGGCGCTGCTTCGAGTGCTGCTGGAGTGCTTGGCGAAGGCACGGAGAAGTACAACGTGACGATGGTCAAGGTCAAGAGCAACGTCAAGGCTGAGTTCAGCACCCGCAGCGAGCACCTCCTCAAGTTGAAGGAGATGTTCGAAGCCACCAAGAACAACAAGTTCCTGCAGCCGCTGCACAATGAGACCCAAGAGCTGATTCCGAAAGCAGCAAAAGCAGTGAAGTCATTGGAGCAGCTGCACTTACAGACCAGCGACGGCACCACTGTTGGCGATGACGTTTACTTGGCCGTGGCTATGCAGATCGACGCCTTCAGCTCTGCGTACACGGAGGTCATCGACTGGTACAAGAAGCTCAACCCCAGCAAGGCCACCAAGCCGAAGAAATCTTCGGCGTAGGTCTGTGGCCGTGCTCCTACATACGCGTACTTTCAGGGAGCAGCACCTGCGTTTCTACAGTGCACTCGAGCAGCCGCTCGAGCTTCTGTTGCCCTCAGTCGCCTCGGGGCACGGCGAGCGCAAGGGTTAAAACTGAGGTGCTTGGGGTTCTGGGTTTCTTGGGTTATTGGGGTTCTTAGGGGTTCTTAGGGGTCCTTAGGGGTTCTTAGGGGTTCGTAGGGTCTTTAGGGTGCTTAAGGTTCTTAGGGTTCTGGGAATGCGTGGGGCTATTTGGGTTATTGTGGTCTTTGGGGTTAGTTGGGCTCTTCGGGTTCTTGGGGTTATCTGGGTTATGTGGGCTCTTCGGGTTCTTTGGGTTATTGGTGTTTTCGGTGTCTCTTTGGACCTCTGTGGGGCTCTTGGGGTAACTGTGGGAGCTCTTGAGGTCAACGCTGAGGGCTCTTTGGGTTCAGACTGGACTCTTGGATCTTGCGGCCAATCATCATTTGCGTGTACGTCTGCAGCTGGAGCCCCATGGCATCATCGTCCACGTTCCCCTTGGAACTCCTCTGAGGTCTTCACGGGACTCGCATGAGCCTCCCACCTAAAAACCCTGAGGTGACATCGGAGATCGCGGAAGCGACGTGTGACACATAATGCAAACGCCATCAACAACATGCAAATAACACGCCCTTCCGTAGCCATTTGAATTCAAACCCGTTTGCATAGCAGATGTTGCGATCACTTATTCTGTGTTTCGTTGCATGGAGCGCCCTCTTGATATCTAGCGGAATGGATAGTGTTAACGATGGGCGCAAAGGAGGTTTGAGAAAACGAGTCGGTGCAATGACATCTGCTTCAACCCAGGATGGAAATGCATTCGTTGTCAACTCTCGATCGGTTCGAAGGCGCGTTGCTGCCGTGGAAGGCGCGCTCGACAATCCCAGCCCCAGGGCGCCTTTCAACCTCTGCATGAGGAGAGACTGGGCAAAGGGTGATTTAGCATCGAACAGGGTGCTTGAATACTGTCAAGCCGCCAGCGATCAGGGTGCAGAACGCGTTCTTCGCGTCCCAGAAAAATGGAATGCGAAAAATGCACATCGAACTGTCATGTCTTCTTTGGGGTGGCCTGAGCACGCACCTGACATCAAATACATCGACATACCTAAGGGACCCGAGGGGAAACTCCAGAGCCATCCTGTAATATGCCCCGTTCAAGTGTTTCAAAGGCTTGCTGCGCACAGACAAAGATATTGGAAAAAGTATTTTGAAGGTGAGCGAGGTTCAAGGTCTGCATTTTGGGAATCTTTGAAGGGCCACCCGATCGTTGACAAACACCCGACGTTGCGAGAGGCAGATTTCGATAGATGTATCCCGCTGGGGTTGCACGCGGACGGAGCGCCCATGACCAAGCATGAAGGACTTTTCACGTTATCATGGAATTCACTTCTCGCGTCAGATGGGTCAACAATGCAGACGCGGCAGATTTTCACTTGCATCAAAAAATCTGAAATCGGGCCTGGCACGATCGACGCTATATTCTCATATTTTGCTTGGGCAATGAACATTCTTGAGACAGGGCAGACGCCTGTTGCTGATTGGAAGGGCATGCCCGTTCGCGGTGGCCGCAAAAATCTGCATCAAGATGGTTGGAAAGCATGTTGCGTTCAATGTAGAGGGGATTGGGGATTCTATAGTACTTGCCTTGGTTTGAAGCGGTGGGATACTGATAATTGTTGCTGGCTGTGTCGTGCCAGCCTTCTTGAGGACCAGTTTCGGTGGACAAATGTTCACCACGACGCGCCTTTTCGGAACACGATGAGGACGCACGAATCGTATCTAGCAGAGTTGGATGCCGAGGGCTGCACACCTTCCAAGCTATTTGACATTCGTGGCATGAGGCTCGAAGGGATCATGATCTGCACACTGCATACAGTTGAGCAAGGTTTAGCAAGCCATTTGATTGCAAACGTTATGGTTAGTATTTTCAAAACTGGTGCATATGGGGCTACGCAAAAAGAGCAAGCTGCAAACATGGCATCTGAGCTCAAGAACTGGTGCAAAGTTCAGCCTAAAGAAATCAAATCGTCGAAGCTGCAGGGGACTTTGACGTACGAAAGAATCAAAACATCATCCGACTGGCCTAAATTAAAGGCCAAGGCTGCCACAACTCGACATTTGAGCCGTTTCGCAAAGTTTTTGGCTAAGAAACACGATTCTGGCAGCGCACACGATCGCAGGCGTAGGCTTGCGGCTGATATGTTGGTTGTATTTTACGATGTCATTGAGAAAGGGCCAGATATCCTTCCAGCCACTGAGCTAGATCGGCTGGCCAATTGCGCGGATGTTCTTCTCCAGTGCTACGTTCAGTTGAGCAGGCAGAGTATCCTAGCAGAGGAGCGGGCTTGGAAATTATCTCCGAAGTTTCACCTTTTCTGGCACATCTGCCACACGCAGGCTCGCATCAGGAACCCAAGAACGTTTTGGACATATGCGGACGAAGATCTCCAGAAACACGTTGGAGATATTGCATCGTCTTGCCACATTTCGAATATGGAGCCAATGATTTTGTATAAGTGGATGATTTTGATTTGGGATGTAGAATCATTGGCAGATTGAAGCGCTTGCAACAGAAGTAGCATCCGTCCTGCTCCTGCCGCTCCTTTGACCCTCACCCCATACCTAATTCTACCTGGCTGACGCTGCCGCCGCTTAGACGGGTTGAGGGCGCGTCGGCAGGGAAACGACGAGGGACAACAACAACGAAAGCAGCAGCAACGACAACAGCACGGGAGTCGGAGGGAGGAGGAGGGAGAGGAAGAGGACGAGGAGGAGGACGAGGGCTTGAGGAGGAGGAGGAAGAGCAGGAGGAGGAGGAGGAGGAGGAGGAGGAGGAGGAAGAGGAGAATCAGGGGGAGAAGTAGGAGGAAGGAGGAAGAGGAGAAGGAGGAGGAGGAAGAAGAGGAGGACGAGGAGGAAGAAAGGGGGAGGAGGAGGAGGAGGAGGAGAAATGAGATGAGGAGGAGGATTGAGAGGAGGAGGAAGAGGAGGAGAAGGAGGAAGGAGAGAAGGTGGAAGAGGAAGAACATTGTAAGATAAGCGAGGCCCCTGTGGCAAGAAGTCCACATGCTGACTTTCTACACAAGAAGGAAGAGACGGAGGAGGAGGAGGAGGAGGAGGAGGAGGAGGAGGAGGAGGGGAGGAGGGAGCGAGAGGAGGAGGAGGAGGAAAACGAGGAGGAGGAGGAGGAGGAGGAGGAGGAGGAGGAGGAACCCTAGGCAGATGAGGAGGACTTTTGCTGCGTGCAACAACGGCGCGTCATTAATTAATGTAATGACGCGCCGTCGCTACTCGATCACGCGGGCGTGATTATTCATCGAGGTTCTAGAATTATGACCTCAGGCGATGGTCGGGGTACCCCCTTGCCCGCCTCGCAGGTTCAGTCAGCTTCTTCCCGAAACCCGCACCCGTCTCGCCTTCTGGGCCCATTCCGACCTGCCAGGTAGTTCTCACGTGCCAATGTTCGTGCTGCTCCAGCGGGACACTCCGCGAGGTATTCCGCGACAGCAGCCCAGACATGCGACGCCCTGTTGCGTTCAGTGCGCGGGCCCCAGACGCTGAGGCCCTGTCCCCAGGGCAGTTTTCGACTGGCCCGGGGCCCTGGACGGGCTCCCAGAGGCCGAAGCTCGAGCAACTCATCCGTCGTGTTTCCTTTCAGGACGTTGCATGTCTCACCGAGCGCGTTCCGCTACTCGCAAAATGCCTACTCGCAAGCGTCCGAAAAAAAACACGTTTGCCTTGATGCAACGGATCGTTGCCCCCCGCGGCGGATCCAGGCCATGTGCGAGTAGCTACTCTGCGAGTAGTGCAGCGCGCTTGTTTAAGGTCTGGGCCGGAAGCCGGTCTGAATCGCCCCCCTTGTGGGGCAGCGGATCGATCCAGGCACAGCTGCGCTCACAGCGCACGAACTTTTGCCCGAGAAGGCGATCTGCACGCGTCTTTCGCTATGCCCACGCGTCCTATAGGGTGCACGGCTTACTTGACTTGATTTGACTTGACGTGACTGGCAGCAGGAGGAGGAGGAGGAGGAGGAGGACGAGGAGGAGGAGGAGGAGGAGGAGGAGGAGGCAGGTCTGGGAGCGAGTTGCCGACGAGGACAGGTATTCTTTCTGTACAGACAGTCGGCCCCGCAGGTGCGCCCTGCGCGGACGCTGCTCGCCGGCGGCGGCGACCCGGCGGCCGCGGTGGCGCTGTGCCCAGACGGCCGCCTGTGCGCCTGCGCGAGCGGCGCGGCCGTGCGGGTGCCCTCTCTGCGGTCGCTGTCGATAGGAGAATGAAGACTGACATAAACATAAAAACTCGGAGGTCCGCGCGGATTTCTCTGATCGGCGCTGGAGCCCCTTGACGGCCCCTCCGGCGCCGCCCCTGGCGCGCTCCGCGCGCCAGGGAAGGGGGGTCCAGCGCCGATCCGAGCAATCCGCGCGGACCTCTGAGTTTTTATGTTTATGTCACTCTTTGTTTCCCGAGTCGAAGCCCTACCCGGGCTTGCAACGTCCTGAAGCAGTCAGGGTAGAGTTTTTTATCGGTTCTCGGCCTCTTGGGGCCGTCACAGGGCCCCAGCTTCGTCAGAGAAGGACCCAGGTCTGAGCATTGGTCCTGTGGAAAGGGTCGGGACTTCTGGGGACCACGTATCGGACAAGTCAACACACCGCATGCCTGGGTATCCTGGATGGGGTATTTTATCTATATCAATGGGGGGGTCCCAATGCACCGTTGTCAACATACGCGCATTCTGCTCATTTCTTCCCCGCAGGCGCCTCGGCGCCCCTGCGCGTGGCGCCTTCGTGGCGCCGCGCGCGCGCCGCCGACTCCAAGTCCGAGTCCGAGTCCGACCAAGAGGGGGGGGGTGATGGGCCTTCCGACGGATGTTGGCCCCCCCTCCGTCCTCCGTCTTCCGTCCGTCGCCGCGCCTTCATGGCGCCACGCGCGCGGAGCCGACTCCGAATCCGAGTCCGAGTCCGACCAAGAGGGAGGGGTGATTGGCTTCCCGGCGGATGTTGCCCCCCTCCCTCCGTCCTCCGTCTTCCGCCCTCCTCCTCTTTCTCCAATCCCCCTGGGCTGGAGCTGTCCAACGGCCTTCGGCCCATCCGCCACAGTGCCTGGGTTGTGGATAGGAAGCCTATTTGGATGTTCGTTGGGAACTCGCGGGGGAGGGCTCTCGGGGGCCTCTTGGAGGCAGTTTTGAGGCCTCTTGGGGGCCATTTTGGGGCCTCTTTTTGGGTTCCTTGGGGGCCTCTCAGGGACCTCTTGGGGGCCTCTTGGGCCTCCTGGGCGCCTCTTGGGGCCTCCTGGGGGCCTCTTCGGGCGGAAGGCTAGATTTTTCAGTTCTTGGTACCTCTATTGGGCTCCTCTTGGGGCCGTCTCGGGGGCCTCTGCGGCCGTCTTAGGCGCCTCTTGCGCCGTCTTGGGGCCCTCTTGCGCTGCCTTGGTGAGGTCTTGCGGGCCTCTTGAACCGTCTGGAGGCGCTCTTGGGGGCCGTCTTGGAGCGTCGGGAAGCGAAGCATGCGAGAACGCTAAAATCCTTCAAAAACCAAACAGAGTTTCAACGATTTTGGGTTCTCGGGCCCCTCCTGGGAAGCCTCTTCGAGGCCTTTTGGGGCGTCTTGGCGGCCTCTTCGGCCGTCTTGGGCCCATCTTGGGCGTCTCGGGCCGATCTTTCGGCGTTTCAGGGCCCTGTTGGACCGTCTTGGGAGCCTCTGGAAGCCCTCTTGGCCCATCGTGGGGCCCTCTGGGGCCAGAACGTTTCATGCGACAAGGCGCCAGGAAGCCCAGGGGGACCACGCTAATGCCCAGAAGCTGTGGTAATTTGGGCCCCGAGGCCCGCAGAGACACCTCAGAGGTGAGGTGTGAGGCTCATGGGGATCGGTCAAAGGACATGAGGACACGACTACTCCGTGCCCAGAGGCACGGTGGCGTATATATATATATATATATATATATATATAAATACATACATCTGTACACATATATGAACCTTCCAAGGAAACCTATGCGGAGTCCACCTGAGCGTGCGCGACGCCGTTGATGGATAACGGTTGAGTTTCATCCATCTGCCGTAGCTGTGTTGGCTCGAGACAGGCAGCGGAGTCACCGGGCGGTGCCGCCCGTCTGTGGCCGCTGCCGAGCCACTCTGTCTACTGAAAGTTCGCCGCGCCGAGCGCGGCCGCGTGCAGGCCACGCTCGGACGACTGATTCTGATCAGCCTCGCTGGCAGACTTTGCGGGCTGAGGGGAGCGAAAACCTGGCTGGGAGACGAGGATCCCGGGCGCGGGTCGCCCCTCTCCCGCGCCGCTGCTGGCGAGGAGCCCGATGGAGCGGGCAGCCCCGGGTGCCGCCGGGTGGCCCTTCCCGAGAGGGGCCTGGCTCGACGCGACGCTGAACGGCGACCTGGTGCCGGGGCTGCCGCTGTGGGCTGGTGCACGGGTCCTGGCGCGCGTCAAGGACGACGACGGGGCGCCGCAGGGCGTCGAGATGCTCGAAGTGGAGGTCGCCTACCAAGCGGACGCCTTCGGCCGTTTCTTCAAGGGGCGGCACGTGGGCGCCAGCGACCCGTACTTCTCATGGTATGCAGCCTCCTCCGGGCAGCAGGGCGCGCGCCCCCTGGCCACGGTCTTCCACCTCTGCAAGTGCAGCGCCGCCGAGTGCGGGGCGGTCGCCCCAGTGGGCGCAGTAGTCGAGCACTTGGACGTGTGGCAGGTGGTGGACCCCCGCGATGTGGCCCGCGAGCAGGCGAAGCTCATCTGCCCGGCCGCGGACCCTGGAGCGCCTGTGCTGGCCGACGCGCCCTCGGCCGAGCCGATGCCTGGAGAGCTCGGCGGATGGCCGCTCGGGGACGGGGCCAACGAGGACGAGGAGGAGCCTCGCGGGCCACCGCGCAAGCGAACCCGCGAGGTGGAGGGCACCCAGACCCCTGGCGGACCAGGAGATACGAGCCCGCTCGACCAGGAGCTTGCTGGGCTCGAGGAGACCGCCGAGGACCCCGAGCTCGAGGCGCGGCTGGCGCGGCTCGGGGGCAAGGCAGCTCGTGGTGGGCCGAGGCAGGGCACGCCCAAGAATGCCGCGCGCCCAGCAGGGGCCGTGGGCGAGCGCCTGGCGCAGGTGGTAGCTGGCCGAGCCGCCGCTGCTGCCCCTGCGCGCGCCAGCGCCTCGGGATCGAAGAGCAGGCTGGCGTCAGCGTTGACCGCTGCGCTCCTGGGGCGCGACGACGACGACGCGGAGGACGGCGCGGAGAGCGACACGGAGCGCCTCGGGGGCCGCGATCGCTACCAGGGCGTGAACATCAAGCGCGACTTGTTCCGCAGGATCGCTCGGCAGCGGCCTGGTGCTCTCCTCGAGAATGGGCTCGGCCACCTGCGCAGCCAGTTCACCCAGCAGCTGTCCGGGGGCGAAGCCGACCCCCTGGCCCCATGCGTCACGCAGTTCCTGAACACGGTGTTCTTCGTTGCTCACCCGCCGCGCACGCTGGGGACAGACGAGGTGCGGGTCCTCCGCACGCTAGGGCTGGCGCTCGACGGCATCCTGCGCGGAGAGGTCGTCGAGACTGCGGATCTGCTCATGCAGGAGTTCAAGGCGCGGACGATGGCCATCCGCGACGGGAACTGGCGGTCAGCACGGTGGCTCACGCTGGTCGCACAGGAACAGCTTCCATCAGGCGCCTCTCTGGACGAGGAGAACGCCGCCGAGAAGGTCGAGGCCCGGGAGCTGAAGGTCGCCGAACTCCGCCAGCGGCTTGCAGACCGCAGGCCGGGCTAGGGGTCTGGCCGGGAGCCGTCTCCGTTGCAGGGGGGGACGGCACCTGCAGGCCATGGGCGCGCGGAGGCGCGCCCCCCGCCCCCTGCTACCGGGACGCCAGTCTCGGGATCGGCCGAGGCGATGAGGATCCTTGCCGGACGCGTTCCAGGCGACGGTCCCGCAGCTCCCCCCGCCGAGAAGAAGCCGCCAGCGGCGCGGAGGACCAGCCGCAGTCCCACGCGGTCAGTCCAGCTCCTGAGCGACTCGGAGGGGGACCTCGACGCAGCAGCCGCCGCCCGCGTGCCACCAGCGGAGGCGGCGGCGAGCCGGAGCTTCTCGCAGCACAAGGCGGCCCACCCGAGGCGCGAGGGCGAGACCCAGGCAGCGTGGAAGGCGCGCATCGGGAGGCCGCTGGCTGCCAAGAGCCGCGGCAAAGGCAAGACGGGGAAGAGCCGCGGCACGGGCACTGCTCGCAGGACGGCCTGGGTTCGAGCGTGAGGGCCGACACGGCTAAGGCCGCGGCCCACAGCACGCCCCCGCCTGCCCTCCGCCCGCCTGAGCGGCAGCTACGCGGCAGTTCGCAGGCTCGGCGGTGGCGCCAGATGCTAGCCGAGGTGGGCACGGGCGTCAGCTCCAAGTTCAGGCTGGCCCTCGCAGTCCACGAGGCGGTGCACGGCTCGCCAGGGGCGATCGGGCGGTACGTTCGTAAGATGTGCACTTCGCCAGACCCCACGGCCAGCTTCGCGCGGCTGCGCGAGGTGTTGCCGTTACCACTGCCCGACGCCCCACTCTTCGAGAGGTACCGCGCCGCCTGGTACCTGCACCAGCAGCTGCCGGAGACCTGCGAGGTGGACGCCGCCACGGCGCAGGGGTGGGCCCAGCTCGTGGTCTTCAGCCTGAACTACCAGTACACGGGGCACATGCGCAGTCCCACCGTCGCCGCGAGGCGGCCCACGGCTAGCCAGGTTAGTGCGCTCGGCATTGTGCAGGAGGCCTGTGAGTATTTCGTTCAGGATGCCGCCACAGCCTTCGAGCTCCCGGACTGGGACCGGGTCATCTCGTCGAGGACCGTCTCCTACGGGGGCGAGGAGACGGCCCGCGCCTTGCCGCTCTCGCTCGCGGGCATCATGCCAGGCCTCCCCGCGCGCGGCGTTGCCGCCTCGGTCAAGGCGGTCGACATCGCGGACGCTCAGGTGGGCGCCTGGCTTGCCGACCCCACGCTGGCTTTGCTCCCACGAGATGAGTGGCCTGCAGAGGTCCCGCGGGCAGCGATCCAGGTCACGTCCAAGCAGGAGTGGTACCGCATCGGGACCAAGCTCGTCGAGCTGAGGCTGGCGGCGCCGATCGCCGACGACCGCATCTTCAAGGTGGGGAACCGCAAGGTGCTTGCGGGGGCGTTCGGGGTCGCCAAGGGAGGCACGCCGTCACCTGGGCAGGCGTGCGTCCAGCGGTTAATCATCAACATGGTCCCGGCCAACAGCTACCAGCGCATCATGAGGGATGACATCGG